AAGGGGTAAAGAATGAGTGTGTGTCTCTGCAGCATTGTTCTTTGTGGGTGTGAAATGCACGATAAATCCTTCCCAGGCCAGCAATCCATCGCTCTGACAATGATAATCAAAGATGCATCGAAGCAAAGGACACACACACCCCTTCTAACCACGCACCCTGCTTCTCTGCAACTTGGCTGTGATTTGGAAACTGTCATCTTTTTTCTGTCTGCTCAGCTCTTTTGGGGTGTTTTATGTGTGTCTCCTTGCACCCACACTGGCCCTGGCGTCAAACCCAAACCGGCCCTCGTCGCTGAGCATGGAGGGTGACTCACAGCCATGATGCCTGGCTATACGACGGGAGGACTTCACAGTCATTACGCCGCTGCACGCCGCAGCACTGCCTCTAATTCACTCACTGAGGGGTGTCCTGTAAATCAGACGTCCCTGTGCTCCTGTTGTCGCTGCTGAGAGGGAGGCAGCTCAAGGACCAGCTGATTGGCTCAGCGGCCGGCTGTTTCCACACTCAGCAAAACACCGGGACTGTCTTCATGGCTGAACTTTATACATGGATAGATTACCTGTCAGAGAAAAGCTCACTTTGGTATGTAGGCTGACAGTGTCACGGTGCAGACTAACTGCCTGCTAAGCTCTACTTCAATATGGAGCGTTCACAGTGAAAGACAAATTGATTAGAAATACAATCCTCCTTTGGCAAAGAGATATACGCAGGGAGATATCTATCTGATGTGTTTATGAGGATGAAATAAAGATCTAAACCAGAGGCCAAGGACCTGCTGAAAGAGTGATGGAGCAAGAAGCCCCTACTCAACATCCTGTATATCAACCATACAAAAGATGTTCATATTAACAGTTTAACATTTTCAAGGTGCATACAATAGTAAGCTATTAACAAATAGCCCAAACTATCTTAGCTGTTATGGATAGGTGTCGCATTGTGATTTAGCATAGGTTAGCTGGCTCATATATTGCACAAGGATTCATTGGTAAGAGTTCAAGTATCATGATTTTTTTTTATTTGTATGAATTTACCGATTTAATCTTCCTTAATATGCATGCAAGTGAAGAATTTGTTAAAAAGAGTGCAGTGCAACCAATTTCACCTAAGCAGTAAGTTCCTATAGGTACTGGAAAATCAATTACGATTCTTAACAAATTTAAGACAATGAGGCGTGTGGCGCAGTGGCCGAGTGCGTTGGTATTTGGATCAGGGGAGCACAGGTTCAAACCCCACTGCAGTCAGCATGCAAGACACTTCACCCCAAATTGTTCCTGTGGGGATTGCCCACAGTATTGTGTATGTAAATCGATAAAATTTGGATAAAAACGTCTAACAAGTAACATGTGTAATGTTAAGTTATCAAAAAGTCTGAGACTAGCCAAGGCACAC